GTGGGGAGTGGGGAGTAGGGGAAAGGGAGTGGGGAGTAGGGAGTTGGGAGTAGGGAGTGGGGATAGGGTTAGGGATGGGGATAAGGATAGGGATAGGGTTAGGGATAGGAATAGGGTTAGGGATAGGGATAGGGATGGGGATGGGGATAGGGATAGGGATAGGGATAGGGTTAGGGATAGGGATAGGGATAGGGTTAGGGATAGGGATAGGGCTAGGACTAGGGATAGGGATAGGGTTAGGGCTAGGGCTAGGGTTAGGGATAGGGATAGGGATAGGGATAGGGATAGGGTTAGGGATAGGGATAGGGATAGGGTTAGGGATAGGGATAGGGATAGGGATAGGGATAGGGATAGGGATAGGGTTAGGGATAGGGATAGGCATAGGGTTAGGGCTAGGGCTAGGGATAGGGTTAGGGCTAGGGCTAGGGCTAGGGCTAGGGCTAGGGCTAGGGCTAGGGCTAGGGATAGGGTTAGGGATAGGGATAGGGTTAGGGATAGGGATAGGGATAGGGTTAGGGATAGGGTTAGGGATAGGGATAGGGATAGGGTTAGGGATAGGGATAGGGATAGGGTTAGGGATAGGCTTAGGGATAGGCTTAGGGATAGGGTTAGGGATAGGCTTAGGGATAGGGATAGGGATAGGGTTAGGGATAGGGATAGGGATAGGGATAGGGTTAGGGATAGGGTTAGGGATAGGGATAGGGTTAGGGATAGGGATAGGGATAGGGTTAGGGATAGGGATAGGGATAGGGATAGGGATAGGGATAGGGTTAGGGATAGGGATAGGGATAGGGTTAGGGATAGGGATAGGGATAGGGTTAGGGTTAGGGATAGGGTTAGGGATAGGGATAGGGAGTTACGGATAGGGATAGGGATAGGGCTAGAGCTAGGGCTAGGGCTAGGGCTAAGGCTAGGGCTAGGGCTAGGGCTAGGGCTAGGGCTAGGGCTAGGGATAGGGCTAGGGATAGGGATAGGGATAGGGATAGGGATAGGGATAGGGTTAGGGTTAGGGTTAGGGTTAGGGTTAGGGTTAGGGTTAGGGTTAGGGTTAGGGATAGGGATAGGGATAGGAATAGGGATAGGGTTAGGGTTAGGGATAGGCTTACTTTTGGCGTGTTTTAGGCTTTTTGTCGGGCTTTCTTTTTTGCACTGGTATCTTTTTTGGCGTGAAATTTAAAAGACGCCAAAAATAAACCAAAACCAAAACCTCTGAGAGTCGCTCATTGGTTGAAAGTTAAATGCCCTGGCGGTCATCGACCTTTGCACTTTGGCCATGCGCCAGACGGCAGGACTTGCACTTCGTCAAGCGTTCGGAGTCCGATTTGGGACGCTTCCTACCAGCAAACGCCTGTTTTCTCTAGCTTATCCAACAGAACGACTGTACGGCAGAGGCATGGAGCGCATGCAGGCGATTTTTGGGCACCTCTCGGGGCCGAACAGGGTCCAAAACTCGGCGTCTTCCACACTGACTCAAAACCAGGTGAAAGGTCGCTTTGCGGAGAGTGAAGACGATGTCGTGATCGTTTCTGCGCTGAGAACTCCGATCGGCAAGGCTGGAAGGGGTTCCTTTAAGGTAAGGATATGTAGATATACTTGATCTACCTCTTGAAGCAAAGAAAATGCATATTTGAAGGAACATATGAGTAATATGAAGTGCCGATCTATGAATTTAAAAGAACGCCCCTCCCCCTTTACCGCAAATGTCACTTAACAGTAAATATATATCTTAAGAGCTTGCAAACACCTTAAATCAGTTACAAGTGCCTGTATTGTACCCTGGGTCTCAAGGCAAGACAAGTTCCTTGTCTACATTGTAGATGTGTTAGAAAGTATGTTAACTTTCTTTGGAGATTAAGTAACAAACGTTAACGTTACACACCAGGTCAACTTCAAAGGCCCTGTCCTCTCGGTCATCAACCTTTGTTCTTTGGCCATTCTCAAGTTTTAAAGATAAAAAAATACAAATTCATCACTTATTTGTTTTATATGTTGAAATTCTGTGCTTAAGAAATGCTAAGTCCACCTGTATGTATATGTGGAGCTGATTTATTAGATTTCTTGAAATATCACGGCTGCAGAAAACATTACCAGATTGTTGTAAAAGGTTAATGACCTTTAGGTCATGTGTTAGTAATAGTAGTAAGTAATGTTGTTGGTAGTGCCCCTCAGGTTTTTGGAAATTTCCTTAAATGATGTGATTGGTGATCAGCACCAAGGACAGTCCCATTTACCAATACAGTACTGTAACTCCTGATTTTTTTGGCGTTACTTTTATGTTCATGGTTTTGACTTTTTTATGTTCATGGTTTTGACTCTTGTACCATGAAGTTATCATTACAGTTAACAAATTTTTGCCAACTTTCTTTTTCCTGCACCTGCCGCCACTGTGAACATATAACATAATTCCGTTATCACCTCCTTTTCTCAGACAGTGAAATTTTGGTACTGCGAACATAAAGTGAACTAGAAAGGCCAATATTTGCTCTGGAGCAAATACAGCGATGGGTTCACCACATTTTACGACATGGCAGGGAAAGAATGAGAAACACAAGGGAAAACAAGAGTTCCACGATTTCATACCTTCGCCAAATGATGTTAACCCTTGCTGTTGACGAATCATACAATTTTAATCATTGATTTTGTAAATAAGAGCCTCAATTGCATGGATTATATCAGTTGATCATATTCTCCACCCAACGACAGCTTTATCTTAACAAAAAGGCTATTATAGCACTTCCTCATAAATTATGCAAATGAGGTCATGATTTGAATAAATTATGTTCATTGTTGTTCACCTTCACTTAACTTCCAAATGTGACAAGTATGAAATTCCCAGCAGCTACAACTATGAAATTATAAAAAATGCCATTAATTATGCAAATTAGGTCCTCATTTACATAATCTATATCCCCAGATGTTTTTCTCGTTCTCAAGTAGATGTCACAAGTGTTTCATAGTTCTATTATCGACAAAGCAGATTTATAGAATTTCCTCATTAATTATGCAAAATAGCTCCTGATTTGCATAATTGTCATCTGATTATGTCAAGCATCAGTTACATACATACATACCAAAAATCAAGACAATCCGTCAACCGGTTCTTGAGTTATCCTCCTTTGAAAATTTTTCAACAAATGCTCCTGCAGTTCCAGAACAAGCCGCTAGGGGACCCAAACTCATGTCACTTCTTCCCTATCCCAAGAGCTATCTGCCATCCAAAATTCGTGACCCTAGCATGTCCAGATCACGAGATACCAAAACCGGAAGTTCTGCTGCAGTACCTAGGAAAGCCGCCAGGGGGCCCAAAATCTAATCATTTCTAGGTCTCACCAAGACCTACCCACCTACCAAGTTTCATTACAATCCATCCACTGCTTCTCGAGTTATCTTGCTAAACCACACACACACAAACACACACACACACAGACAAACGCTACTGAAAACATAACCTTCTTGGCGAAGGTAACAATGATTTACATTGATATAACTATAATATGAAGTAACATACAACTAAAACAACAGTTGGATAGCTATTCCCTACTTTATTGGTTAGGATTTTTAATTGCATAATGCAAACTGTTGATTTTCAAAAAAAAAAAACGTTCATGCCCCGCATTCCAATGCTGGAGCAGAAAAGCTTGAAATACCTACCAAAACACTTGAATAAAGACATACTGTCAGTATGGAAATGCTCTGTGCAGGTGTTATTAACAATCACATAAACTATGAAGCCATACATTGAATAAGCTATACATATAATATGATTATCATAACCTTTATTTTTAAAATCATGCCAGTGAGCTAATTGCATGTACAGAGTGAAAGAAAGTAAAGTAAAGCAGTAGAATTTCTGTACTAGCTATGATAGTACTTCATATGATTCGTCCTCATCGTCATCATTCAATGTGGTCTATCTCTTGCTATAGTGACTGGTAATACCTCTGTAGATTCTTCACACTGGCAGAGTACCGTACTCCTTCTCTCTTGTCAGCTCAATACTTTTGTGACAACATCAAAGTGATTTTAATTTGTATGTTGGAAAAATACAAAAGACTAACATTCTAAGTTATTGACATTCTTGAGTAAGAACAATCAGTTTTGAATGTTAAAAGCAAAACAACGAAAATTAAAAAAAAATGTTGAAATTGTTAAAAATGCAGAATTGTTAAAATTGTTAAAACTGATAAAATTGTTAAAAATGATAAAATTGTTAAAAATGTTAAATTGCTAAAAATATTAATGTCCGATGCACTGGGGTTCAACTTGCAATGCCTGGGATTGCCGCCTTGCGCGTTTCCAACCGAGCTAACTCGGTGCGATACACATCACTCACTGCATTGTATGTCATAAAAAGTAAACAGCATGGCGGTATCGATCGCTTCAAGGCACCAAGACTTTCAACTATTAACTACGGGGTTTCCTTCTTTATCAGGTTTGCTTTTGAACCACCTTGATGTTACTTAACTATCAACCCTACAATTTTGGTGATACTTCGGAGATCGATAACAGAACCTAGACAATACTAGTTGGTAAAGATTGCGGAAAATTGTTGATACCGTGGCGCGCGCGCCGACGATACACATTACGTACCGCGTAACTTTTTTGTTTACAC